CATTGTGATTGAGCAATCTTAGCCCTCCATTCAAAATGGTCATTTGGATAAGAGAGAAGATAGAACTTTTATGTTGTAGGGGAACATACAAAGCTTTCCCTTATATTTTATTGTTCGGAATTGATTGAGTAGGATTGAGAATATGGCTAGACGAGTTCAGTTCAAGTAACCCTCGATCCGTCCAGTTCTTTTAATTTTTTATTTGGTTTTTGACTTCTTTGTTAATTGTAGCCCATTCCTACTTTGGATTCGGGCTAATTTGGACCAGCCAAATTGGAATCTGACCCTGATTCAAGGCCTGATTCGATTTAAATACTACACGGAAAACCAATTCCGGTGCCGGAAAATCTTGCGATGGCTTGTAAATCGATTTCCGCTTCTCTAATTGTGAATTTCAAAACTCAAAAAGACGGTGCAAATTTCGTGGATCCGTGACCACTCTAAACAAATAACACCAAAAAATTTGCACGATAATTCATTTTTAAGGCTTCAAATTTATTTTACTTTTCTTCTTTTAGATCCATCAACATGGAGGTAGAAATAATAAATTTGAAGGTCTTCCTATAAAAAACTCCAATATTTAGTGAGCTTTGAATGATCTATAAAATACAGCCTCACCTTGAATCCTAGTCAAAACAATCTGGGCATTGAAAATATTCATGATGGTTCGAAAATCAATTTCCAACACCAACTATAAAATTAGAAGCTAAAAAAATACTACAATCTTGTAGATTTATGAACACTTATTTTTTAAGGCAAAATGGATGGTCTAGATAATTTGTTGCAATAACGTTCAAGGCAAGAGTACCGGCATGAATGTTTTCCCATACAAGAATTACAATTTGCAGTATATTTTGAGGTGAGGCTTTACTTAATTTGATAAAGTTGCAGGCCTGTCAAACCATTTTCTATTCTTTAATCGGATTGTTACTTTTTATTCTTGGAATTACACATTAAAAAGCCATTTTTTTTTAATATAAAGAGAACACATACATTTTATTCTTGGAATTACAAATTAAAAAGCCATTTATTTTTAATATAAAGAGAACACAATCATCTTTAGCCATAATATGTGAAAGGTGTGTCCCACAATTAGAATATTCCATTTTTGTATTTTCCTCGTAAAAATTCATTTTGAGATTCTCATGATGAATTTAGGATGACAGTGTTTTGTGTAAAAAGAAAGAGATCGAGAAAATCTCTTAAAAGGAAGAAAACAAAAAAACCCAATACTATTATTGCAAGTACTGATTTTTTTTTTAAAATTATAAAAATAAAAAAACCCCACGAATGCAGCATAGAAATTGAGGTTTATTCCCGTATGTATGAAGCCTCAACATCTCCTCTACCAAACATTCAAATGCAGCATTGAAGCTCCCTCCTGGCCCCACAGCTCGATGTCCCCCTCACTCATGAGCCTAGCACGCACTCTCTCAGATGACCCAGGCTCCATCACTCCGGCCACAGCTTGAGCTAGTGAGCTCGGATCCAGTCCACCCCCTTCAGTCTCATTCATTCGCACCCCAACTCCAAGGCCCTTTTCCCAATAAACATGCATTCAAGTGTTGCTCGGCCTCGATTGGCCACCCCACCATTGGCACCCACCCCGGGTGCGAGGCCTTCCAGCATCGAATTCCACCCACAGTGTGTCAAGAATGCACCAATTGCTTTGTTCCTCAAGACACGAGCTTGTGGTGCCCAGCCTCGAAGTACTGCTCCATGACCTTCCATTGATGGCTCAAAGCCGGAGGGCAAGTTCCGGTGATTGGGGATAACCCATAGGAACATTGATCCACTCATCTCGAGTTCAGCCGCGATTGCACCTACCTGCTAAGTTTTGATATATAAGATTGTCCCATGTGAGGGTGTTTTTTTTTGGAAAATTTTTATCCAAGTTAATGTTGACGGATTTATGTGGTCTTTAAAGACCTTATGAGTATGTATTGAAATACTTTTATTATATTGAAACATAAATTAAGTCGAAGTGTGGTCCCTCGAAGACCATACTAAGCAAATGATATTTGCTTATACTGGACTGTGCTTATCGATCTAAGCCAAACAGTTGGAAAACCCAAGGTACCTGGGCATAAATAATTAACCGAGGAGGGTTTTGGGTTAGCCCTTGATAATGTCGGAGCTTATGCCTAGATGAGAGAGTCGAGGGATTGTGTGACCCTTGTGTATGATGGTAGGCCTACTGAGATTGAGGCCAAAACCTCATCCATGTTCCATCACACGACATGCATATTGTTATATTGTTTCGAAAATCTAGATATCCACCTTTGGGTGAAGCGTATGCATGTGCGAGAGATACCCCTACGCATCATAAAGCTGTGATTGCATCAGGTCGTGGTGACCTTGAATCGTCTCTAGGGGAGGACCTGTAATCCACAAACTGGGATTGCGACCCCTTGGCTTATCAGCCAGACTTTGGTGACCCACTAATGAGCCCCTGCTTGGACTATGGGTAATGAGAAACACTAGGTCGGTTTGATAAAACAAGTGTGGTCTGTAGTCCACCGTTGAAGGTGAAGTACCCCATGATCGTTGATAGAATTCTTGAACCATATGGATTCACTTCCCATCATATTAAATTAATTGTGTTCATTTAATTATTAAATTATTTTAGATTTATTATTTGAAATTTTTTTTATAAGTCATTTGATATTTTATTTCTTATTTTTGGACTTATAAAAATGAAGTTATTGATTTACAAAGTTATAATGTTTTAAAATTCATTTTTTTTAATTTTAAAATATTTATTAAAAAAATACATGGGGGCCCATAGTGCACATGAGCCCACCATGTAGGTATTAGGTGGGGCCCTATATACCATACCTAGGTGGCACGCCCCACCTTTGGATACCTTCTTTTGTTGATTTGTCTTCAAGTTTATTAAATATGGTAACTATATCTTGTAGCATATAGTCAAATATTGATTAGGAAATATTGATTATATCTTTATTGAAAGAATATCTTGACTTGATATTATTGAAATATTCTTATGAAAAATATGAGATAGAATATGCAATTTATGGTATGTAGTATATCTTTAATGGATTTAATTTATTTAAATATATTGATTAGAAAATGGTTTAAAGAAAGGGGTATAATGGCTCATGGCTATTCCATAATGTTGATGACCCATCTATGGAATGGATGGCTCGGATCTCTTACCCTATAAGTCACCTTGATCAACGGTTCATATTCAATATCAAGAAAGAGGTAAACTATGGGAAATTCTAAAAAAACTATAGACCTAAATTTCACTATAAATAGATGTGCTCT